TTATATTAGTTAAATTTAATTATTTAATGTCAACTTGGATATTATAACTGTTTAATTTTTTTTATGTTGTTATCGTGTTTTAATTGTTTTTCATTTAAGGCACACTAATTAGTTCATTTTTCATTTTTCATATTTCGTTTTTGTTGACTTCAAATACTGATTCGCACTTGTTTAGTTAATCAACTAGTATTCTGCATTTTGCGTTTTTAATTTCTTATCACTTCCACACTTTCGTTTGCGTATTTCGGTTTTGCCGATTTTGTATTGTATGTGTTTTGTTTTTGCTTTTGATTTTCCCTCGACAAAAACACAAACTCAAAATTTTSTAAGTTCACCGAAAATTGTCTCGCATTCTTCTCCAGACCAAACCAAAAGTCAGTACAAAAGTCGAGATACTGCCTGCCGGTAAACGCAAGCAACGCAAAGAAACGCGCCAAGGAACAGTCGTGTCGATTGCAACAACAAACACAACACCGTCGTTGTCGTCGTCRTGAAAAAATCGGATTTTTTTGTGATTTTTTGGCAAAGTGAAATAAAACGAGTGAAATGAAATTTTGCCAGTAAGAAGAAAGAAAAAAATTGTCTTGTGTATGCTTTTTGTAGTGTATCTTTTCTTGAGAGATGGAAAATATAAAAATATTTGCGCGAAGAAGCGCGCCCAACGAAACGCACCGAAAACGGCCAAAAAGATGAATATGTGCAAAAATCTTTTGCATACACTCAAGAACCCGCAACGACTACGGCCACAACGTCGRCGAACAGCGAACGGTTCGCCGGCAGACAGAAATTGGACGCTCGATGGCAGCAGTCATGCGGTTGGCGCAAACGCAGCACGAAGGCATACACTTATAAGTGGCGGCGGCCCGTACAACATACAAAACAACGAAGACGGGCGCTGGTTGGGGCACAAAAAAGCTCCAAAGAAAAAACRACGAAAAAAGAAGAAAACCTAGCAGCAAAAAGTATTCGTACGACGTACGGCAATAGTGCGGCAAGTCAGGCAAGCGAGAAGGCAGCAAAAAACCTRCGAGCAACAAAAAGACGCAGTCGATGCTGATGATGATGACGACGATGACGATGACGATGACGACGACTACGACAGCAACGATGGTGCTGGTGCTGGTGCTGTTGACGACCACAACGACGACGACGCGCAACGGCACAGCAGCAACGAACAGGCGATGCCAACGAAACCAACACGAGCAAGCGCAAAATACATGGACGCAACAACAACAGACATTACAGGCATTGAAAAAGCATGAAGTTAACAACGTTGGTAGGTACAATGAGGCTTCAGCCATGGCAGCGGCGTTGGTGCGGCAAAGCAATATTGTGCAATATTGYGGTGCGGCTGTGGAAGCGGTGGGGGCAAAGGTAGCGACAGCGCCCGAAATTTTTTATTTTGTAGCACTGCGTTCGCTCAGCCAGTGTGAGTGGCGAGAGAGTGGCGCGCRCGCTTATTTGTGTGCGTTTGTATGTGAAGTGGGATCGAGTTTGTGTATGCAAAAGAAATTTGTGGATACAAGCGAATAAGAGTCAGTGGCAGTTGGGTATGTTGGAGCTACCAAAAGATATACAGATATGYGAAGTTGTTGGCGTAGTTACATATAGAGTTCCGTTTTTGGGGATAACCAACTGATGTTTGTTTTATTATACAATTGCTAAGGGAAAGGTGCACTGAAAGGTGAAGCGCTGGGATTTTTTATGYACTAATATATATATCTATTTWTATATAYATATAGCAAAATTTATACATATAATAAAATATACAAGTACAACGTTTGAACTGCATGTGTGCGCGCGTTGCACAGCTTTGGAGGTGGCGGTTTATTTGGGTGGCGCTCGCAAGCAAGTAGTTTGAGGTCGAGTAGTAGTCATATTTATGCAGGTAGGAATATGGAAATTTCRTGTGCGCTGGATGAATGGTGAACASCGCGCCACCGACGCATATGCCGCTTCACTAAAACGGCAAAGAAAACAAATGATGCGCGGTTCTTTAACGCGCTTACAAAATTATGCTTCCTAGAAATTGGCTTTCATTTATACGACAAGAAGTAGTTCGGTAGTTGCAGCACTCATWKTAGAAGAGTTTGTGTGCATACTGTTGAAGACTTTRTGTATTCCCGCCAAAGGGTAATATGAATTTTGCCTAGGAAAACAAAAACAGCTAAGCAATATGCCGCGCGGCGTCGTGCATCTCCTAACAAAACAACAGCGCTTTAGGTATTTTCAATTGAAGCGCCAACAACMCTTTTCATATCTCCAATTGCAGCGCCAACCAACTGTCAAACGAAATAGGCGGTAAGACACATTACAATTTCTTCAACTATTTTTTTGCATTGCGTCTTCGCCGAAACACCAACCAGCGCGCGCTGGCCACATGCACTGCCGCTTGACCGCAACAGCATAAGAAGGCGTTTCAGATAAAAAAAAATATATATATATGTATATTTTGGTGCCTATGCAAAAAACCGCCTTCCGTAGTGTCGGCGCTAACTTTGTTATGCCTTATGTACGGTCATTGGTGTAGGCAGCGGCGGTGGCGACAGCAACTACAAWTCGGCAATACCGCGATTCTGCGCGCCCTCCAACGCCAATAGCAAAAACACCGCGCTCACACACACCGCAAATGTCAACGAAACACGGTGCAAAAGAAAAACAAATCACACTGTATGCGCGAAAACGCGAACGCGTCAAAGAATTCCCTAAAAAAATAAGCAACAGATCACATATATAYAAAACAGCGAGCACAAACGCAAAAACTGGCTAAATGCAAAGCTATAACAAAAAAAAATATCAAAAAATAAAAATATATAAAAACACAGTGGCCAGTAAACTATGACGAGAACCGTGTGAGCCCTACCGAACGGATTAAATGTGAACGACGTACTGAAGCTGAACGAGCGCGGCAAAAATCGAAAAACACAGGCAGGCGAGCAGGCCATGGCTAAGCGAAAAAAATCAAATAAATTGTATGTATACATAAATATGTATAAAATACAAATACAACAAGAGTAGCTATTTGCGAGCGCTGCTGTTGAGTGTGGACACATTAGGGAACGCAGCGGTGCGACGCGGCGGGCGCATACAGCGCATGATGGGTCGCGCTGGCGAGCAATCGTCAAAGAGCAAAACGAGCAATCTTTAAGCTTTGTCCAATTCGCGGCAACGCAGCGCTGAGTAAAAAAGCCGCACACTCATGCAAAGCAAAAGTGGGACTGCTCCCGAACTCTCCCGGTTGCGCTGCACCACACACACACACACACACCGTTGGAGCGCATTGTCGTTTGCATGCTTGCGTTCCATTGAAAAAATATGCTCCCATGCACACTCTCGCACTTGCAACTGCTGCCCAGCGCATATGCATGCAACACTCACTGCAAGCGCCACTGCACCTACACCAAMGCGTGCAATGCGCACGCATACAAGCAGCAATTGATTATGTGTGGGTAAAAAAGATACATAAAAAGCCGAGTCAACAAATACACAAACATTGTGAGCAGAAAAAAGTTAATGCTCTCGCCCAGAAAAATGAAAAAGTTGCAAATGCGCTTTAGTATGGGTATGCGCTCGCTTTCCCCGTGCGCTGACTGTCGCTCATTTACATTGCGCGCGCGCGTTTCTCATATAGGCTCCCCAAATAGCTTTTATTGCTCTCGCCTGCTTATCTGCTCCACCAACGCCATATTATTTGCTGTTGCTCATTGCAAGCGCCCACAAAAAAAAAAAAATGTATTGACTGCTGCAAATTCGCTGCAGTGAGCGCACTTACAATAGTGTATGCACTCATTTCGTTAATTTCTCTCCTATTCGTGCCCTTAAGTATTATATTTTTTCGGCTTTCTTTGCGAAAAATTTGACTTCACCGTTGTACAGTGGTCGTGTTTTAGTTCATTTGTACTGAAAAATAGGCAATAGTAAGGATTTGCTACAATTTTAACTAAAGGCTGTATTTATTGAAAAGGATAGTCGCCTTAGTTATAGTTATTYATACATATTTTATTACAACAGAAAGTGGAGATTCCGACGAACCAAAAACTTATTGGCACCCGACCAATCTTTAAACGCRTTTTTCYCAAARTGGTGTTTTCAAAGTCGGTTACTCGAAAACAGCTAAACCGATTAGTCTCAAATTTTGAAACGAGCTTCTAAAATATATCTCTTTAGTAATTAAACGAAGATTTTTTYTCGGAAGTTYTGGTCAAAAATCGATTTTTTTAGAAAACGCCCATTTCGTAAGAAACATTTAATTTGCTATTCCTTCGATTAGTTATTATATTTAACAGTACTTTAACTTAAGTACTTAAATTTTTTTTTGGTTTTTTTAATTTCAGAGGATCYAGTTCAGAGGTATAATGGTCACTGCGAATCGTATTTTTTGARAGCAGCTCTCGGAGATCAGCTGTAGTCCCTCTCCAAATAAATATTTTTTTCTAATAATAAGGCTTAAATACATTCAAAATATGCCATAATATATGTACAAATTTTTGGGTCAATAAATTTAGAAGTTTTCTCAAAATAAAATGCTAGAAAAAACGCTTTTTCGACTTTCTAACTGTATATAACAGAAGAGAAAGAAAGAAAATRCAGTGAGTTTAGAACATTCGAAGCTAAGTTTGCATCTAATATCGTCGAAAACAAAGTTGTAAAAAACAAGCACAGAGCCATAGCTATTTCAATTTTTCACATAAAATTTGGATTTAGATGGTTTTATTCTTCTGTTTCAATAGGTCTGAAATTCTYAATTACATATTTTTAGCGCTTTTCACCATTTTCAAAGCCTTCTACAATAGTCTATTAGGATTGTTAGAGAGATTGTTTAAATTTTCTTTAGATTTGTCGTTATGCTGCACACTGTAGCTCTTGTAGCGACCCCAGTTTAGCACATAGAAAATTTGGCGGGAGCTACACACAACCATGCTAAACGTCTAGCATAGATTTGCAATTAAAAAGTCTTCAAATTATTTTTACGTTTTAGACTTTAAATATAAATAAATAATAAGTATTTTTGCTTTTTTACATTTTACATATATAAAATAATGCTTGCTGATAAAAGTTTCCGATATACGAGCGCAATAAAACGCCAACAACACCCACAACTTACTTGCAAGCACTCACACACTTAAACATACTACCAGCAATAAATCTTCGGAGAGGCCGGTTGCTCACAGCTGARAGCGCTGCAGCGTTGAGTGGTAGTGCAACTTGTAATCAATAAGCATGTGTGCGTGTGAGTTATCTTAACGGAGAGTCAATGTTGGGGTACACAGGTAGAATGCTGGCGGCGACTGAGCAGGCTATAATATACATACATTTTTAATACATACACAAATAGGTGATTCAGTGTGTGCGTTTTTATGTATGTGTGTGTGCATTTACATTTCGTATCAGCATCTGCATATATACTCATATAYATAATTACATATACATATAAATATAAATCTGCCTGCTTATTTCTGCATTTGGACATAGCGCCTCCTGCATCTGCGCCTATATTTATACAAAAGCACGCCCCTTACGCCCCACACACCACCAAACCACTTAAAGCACATACTATTTATATGATATACCATATACATATGCATATACATACGTGCGCTTCTGCACCGTTGTGCCGTCASACTCGGCTCACACTTCCACTTCATTTCAACGCATCAACGCACTTC